AGGGCTGAGAATCCTGCCTATGGTCATGGGGATGGTCAAACACAGGCCACCTGATAATTGACAGGTGCAATCCATTTCAAGTTTATCAGTTACATATGTACCAAGCCTGGGGGGACACTCTGCCATGCAGGACCACACAAGGGTTGTGCTGGCGAAAAATTGAAACACCAGCAGCTCTGGAAGTCAGGCTTTGCAGTGAGCTGCGGCGCTGGCCTCCAAAGTACAACTTTTGAATTATAGCGGCTTTTCCCCCCATAACCTCCCTCCCACCCGCAACCATCCCATCTCCCACTCCCTCTCCCATCCCATTCTTCATCATGATTCATTTTAAATTATCTTTATATATAGAAGATCAATTTTGTATATACTAAGTAAAGATTTCAACAGACTGCACCCACAAAGACACACAAATTACAGAGTACTGTTTGACTAGTAGCTTTACTGTTAATTTGCATAGTACAACACATTAAGGACAGAGGTCCTACATGGGGAGCAGGTGCGTAGTGATTCCCTTTGTTGATTTAACAACTGATTCTCTTATTTATGACGTCAGTAATCACCAGAGGCTCTTGTCATGAGCTGCCAAGACTATGGAAGCCTCTTGAGTTCTCTCCTCCCTTCAGAGAAAAGTACTGCCTTCTTTGATGGCCTGTTCTTTCCACCGGGATCTCACTCACAGAGATCATTCATTTAGGTTTCTTTTTTTTCTTTGCCACAGTGTCTTGGCTTTCCATGCCTGCGAAACTCTCATGGGCTTTTTAGCCAGATCTGAATGCCTTAAGGACTGATTCTGAGGCCAGAGGCTGTTTAGGGCACTTACCATTCTATTAGTCTGCTGTGTATCCTGCTTCCCATGTAGGATCATTCTCATGGAAATGAATTTTTAGGGGATACACTTCAATCTATAATAGGAACCATTAAGTAAAGAAAAATTTTTTTAATAATTTCAGTATTTTTGACTATGGTTTTCTTATGCTTTGGAGACTGAATGGAATTATGTTATTTGAGCCTTTTACTTCTTTGCTTTTATATTCTCTCTGTCTATACTAAATAATGTTCCTACTGGTAGTCATATACCATATTTTATGCTTCTTTAATAGTTTGGTTTTTGATTGCATTTTTTATTTATTTTTTATTTAGTAAATATAAATTTTCAAAGTACAGTTAATGGATTACAATGGCTTCCCCCCCCCATAATTTCCCTCCCACTCACACCCCTCCCATCTCCTGCTCCCTCTCCCATTCCATTCACATCAAGATTCATTTTCAATTGTCTTTATATACAGAAGATCAATTAGGTATATATTAAGTAAAGATTTCATCAGTTTGCACCCACATAGAAACACAAAGTGTAAAATACTGTTTCACTACTAGTTATAGCATTACTTCACATTGGACAACACACTAAGGACAGATCCCACATGAGAAGTAAGTACACAGTGACTCTTGTTGTTGACTTAACAATTTGGCACTCTTGTTTATGGCGTCAGTAATCTCCCTAGGCTCTAGTCATGAGTTGCCAAGGCTATGGGAGCCTTTTGAGTTCACCGACTTCGATCTTATTCCTACAGGGCCATAGTCAAAGTGGAAGTTCTCTCCTCCCTTCAGAGAAAGGTACCTCCTTCTTTGATGGCCCCGTTCTTTCCACTGGGATCTCACTCGCAGAGATCTTCCATTTAGGTCTTCTTTTTTTTTTTTTTTTCCAGGGTGTCTTGGCTTTCCATGCCTAAAATACTCTCATGGGCTCTTCAGCCAGATCCGAATGCCTTAAGGGCTGATTCTGAGGCCAGAGTGCTATTTAGGACATCTGCCATTCTATGAGTCTGCTGTGTATCCCGCTTCCCATGATGGATCGTTCTCTCCCTTTTTGATTCTATCAGCTAGTATTAGCAGACACTAGACTTGTTTGTGTGATCCCTTTGACTCTTAGACCTATCAGTGTGATAAATTGTGAACTGAAATTGATCACTTTGACTAGTGAGATGGCATTGGTACATACCACCTTGATGGGATTGTATTGGGATCCCCTGGCATGATTCTAACTCCACCATTTGGGGCAAGTCTGACTGAGCATGTCCCAAATTCCTACTGGTAGTCATATACCATATTTTATGCTTCTTTAATAGTGCAGTATAGTTTGAACCAAGTTACAGATTCACATAGGACTAGAAGGGACCTCAGATAGTTATCAGTCTTTTGGACTGTTTCTAGGCAAATATGCCAAATAGTTGGGTATCTGACACTTTCTTAAAAGGAGATTTCACAGCCTCTCTTAGTAAACTGCTATAGTGTTCAAAGTTCTTTAAAAGTCTAACGGCTTTCTGATTATAACTGAATCTTATTTTAGTTTATGGATTCCAGTGTCTGAGAATTCTGACATTCAAAAAAGTAACAACTGAGATTGTTAATACTTAACATTTACAAGGCAGATTACTGCTGCATACTTTCACTAGCTTACAACAAATCTGTAATATGTTATTAAATTAGTCTCATTTTAGAGACTGAGGTTCAGAGGAGCTGAGTTAGTTTCCAAAGGACAGAGAGCTAATAAATAATACAGCTGGAATTCCAGCTCAGATATTCTATCTCGTAAAACCTATGCTTTGTCCCATTATGCCTCATTGCAGGATGAAAATGCAAAATGTAATCTTATTTCTCACTGTGTTGATGAATTGAAGATCAAGGAAAAAAGTGCTTTGCAAGCATAGATTCCTAGCGTTAGAAGAAATCATGCAATTTTGGGGCAGGCATTTGTGGCACAGCGGATTAAGCTGCTGTTTGGGATGCCAACATCCCATATTGGAGTGTCTGACATTGAGTCCTGCCTCTGCTTTCAATTCAGCTTCTTGTTAATGTGACTGACTGGGAGGCAGCAGATGATGGCCTGAGTGCTTGGGCCCCTGCTACCCAAGTGGGAGACCCAGACAAAGTTCCTGGCTCTTGGCCCAGTCCTGGTTGTTGCGGGCACTTGGGGAGTGAATCAGCAGATGGAAGATCTTGCTCACTCTGTCTCTCCCTCACTTTCTATTATTTTGTCTTCCAAATAGATAAATAAAACTTTTAAAAAATCATACATTGTGGTAACAATCTCTTTAGAGAACTCAAATCCTGGTAACTGGACTGATGCTACCAGAAATCTGTTAAACTGAGTTGAGTTCATAAATGAAACCCCACACCGGTGTAGTTAAGTTCACTAAGGTACACAAGAAAATGAAGACATGGTACTTTGGACAGTGGGAAAAAGCAGTTGAACATCAAGTTTCTGAGTAAAGAGCACAACTAGGCAAGCCTAGGAGATTATCAATTGAAAAGTAAAGCATAAATGTAGCTTTGTTTGCGTATGCCTGGGCTTTGAAGTCAGACAGTTCTGGGTTGAATCAATGCCACTTGCTACTGAGATGACTGGGGATAGATTACTTAACTTCTTTAAATTTCAGTTTCTTTCTGTATAAAATCAACATAAGAGTATCTACATTATTGTGTTAATGCAAATATTAAAGGATACAATGCATATGCACTACTTAGCAGGGTACCTGACACAATAAATTCTAGCTTCAAGAATAAACAGACCATTATTCTCATTATTCCTATTATGGTAGAGCATCATCTAAGCCCCCACTCAATTTCTCATGGAAGTTTATTGTGGAGATATTTATTTATGATTATTTAATATTATACATAAAGTATGTAAAAGATGATCTCTGACATTAAGAACCATGCATGATAATAAAAGGCAACTAAAGACTTGCTGTAATGTTATAATAAAACTTGTAAAAATGTATTGAGTCATCAGGATTTGTTTTGTTCACCTCTTTTCTAAGTGATTTACATGCATTAACACATTATATTTTCACAACTCTATGAAATAAGCAGTATTCTTTCTATGCTATACATAAGCATGAGGAGATAAATAATTTACTAGGAAGCAGAAGGGCCAGGATTTGAATTCAGACGGTCTGGCTGCAGAACCCACACTTTTAACTACTCTGCTCTACTGTCTCCCAACCACACTGCTCTGTTTCCTCTATAGCCAATGCCTCTGTTAAATGACTGATAGCAAACTGGAGCTTTAGAATGGAATAATATGAATGCCAGATAGGTTAATGAATTAAAACAATCAATTTCCATGAAGTGAGAATTAAAAGTGGCTAGAGGCTACATAAATATTTATAGCTATTACCGATAAAATAAAATAAAGCTAAAGGATTTTTTAGACTCATGCCTAACTTCGACTTTTTAAAATGGAAACATCTCCATCTCTTTCAAAAAGTATGTATAGGGGTCGGTGCTGTGGTGTAGTGGGTAAAGCTGCCACCTGCAGAGCCGGCATCCCATATAGGCGCTGGTTCATGTCCTGGCTGATCCACTTCCAATCCAGCTCTCTGCTATGGCCTGGGAAAGCAGTAGAAAATGGCCCAAGTCCTTGGGCCCCTGCACCTGTGTGGGACACCCAGAAGAAGCTCCTGGCTCCTGGCTTCGGATCCTCACAGCTCCGGCCATTGCAGCCATCTGGGGAGTGAACCAGCGGATGGAAGACCTCTCTTTCTCTCTGCCTCTCCTTCTCTCTCTGTGTAACTCTGATTTTTAAATAAATAAATGAATCTTTTTTAAAAAAGTATGTATAAACCACAGGTTATGTCAAGGATGGTGGTGAGGAGTGGAAAGGAGAGCAGTAAACATACTGGGACTATGATGGTGAAGGACTTAGCCCTTATAGCCCACTGTGGGGGCACTTCCTCCATGCCTGGAGTAGGGAATGGATTGGGCAGGAAGGGCAGGTAGTTTGGGTAACAGTAATGAGCTGAGAGAGACCAGATCACTTTGGTAGAGTGGTTAATTGTGTTCTTCTCTATTTTAAATTCTGGCAATTTCCAATCACTGTCCTATAGCCAAAATGGCTGCTGAAAGTATGTTCCACTTTATTTCTGGGTAAGCTTCCTAAAAATTGTTATCATAAACTTTCCACTTATCTAAGTGTAAAATTTATAACATCCTCTTACCTTTTTCTGCTGGGCTCAAAACAGTCACTGTTGGTGGAGGGGGGGAGAGAGACAGAAATATTTTTTATTAACTCATTTTTCCACATCATGATTTTTTAGCAATTTATACAACAGTACTTCAGGGTACCACCAGCCTAACATGAGAGAAGGCAAGGATGACTAAATTTCATCCTTTGCTATCTTCCTTCAGTAATTAAGAATTCCCATTCATTCAATAGAGGCATGAACTTTCATTTTTTAAAAACTCAACAAATGGAAACACACAAGCTATGTAACATGACAGTAAGAACTTAAAAATTGATAAATTCAGAGATGATTATTTACATTCCCAAAATACTCTCTGTAGGATGTCTTTTTATTTTATTAACTTTTATTTATCAAATATAAATTTCTTTTTTTGTTTGTTTTTTTTGTTTGTTTTTGACAGGCAGAGTGGACAGTGAGAGAGAGACAGAGAGAAAGGTCTTCCTTTGCCGTTGGTTCACCCTCCAATGGCCGCCGCTGCAGCCGGCGCACCGCGCTGATCCTGGCAGGAGCCAGGAGCCAGGTGCTTTTCCTGGTCTCCCATGGGGTGCAGGGCCCAAGCACCTGGGCCATCCTCCACTGCACTCCCTGGCCATAGCAGAGAGCTGGCCTGGAAGAGGGGCAACCGGGACAGAATCCGGCGCCCCGACCGGGACTAGAACCCGGTGTGCCGGCGCCGCAAGGTGGAGGATTAGCCTATTGAGCCACGGCGCCGGCTCAAATATAAATTTTCAAAGTACAGCTTATGGATTACAATGGCTTCCCCCTCACACAACTTCCCTCCCACCCGCAGCCCTCCCCTTTCCCGCTACCTCTCCCCTTCCATTCACATCAAGATTCATTTTCAATTCTCTTTATATACAGAAGATCAGTTTAGTATATATTAAGTAAAGATTTCAACAGTTTGCACCCACATAGAAACACAAAGTGTAAAGTACTGTTTGAGTACTAGTTATAGCATTAATTCACAATGTACAGCACATTAAGGACAGAGATCCTACATGAGGAGTAAGTGCACAGTGACTCCTGTTGTTGACTTAACAAATTGACACTCTTGTTTATGGCCTCAGTAATCACCCTAGGCTCTTGTCGTTTGTTGCCAAGTCTATGGAAGCCTTTTGAGTTCGCCGACTCCAATCTTATTTAGACAAGGTCATGGTCAAAGTGGAAGTTCTCTCCTCCCTTCAGAGAAAGGTACCTCCTTCTTTGATGACCCGTTCTTTCCAATGGGATCTCACTTGCAGAGATCTTTCATTTAGGTCTTTTTTTTCTTTTTGCCACAGTGTCTTGGCTTTCCATGCCTGAAATACTCTTATGGGCATTTCAGCCGGATCCGAATGCCTTAAGGGCTGAGGCCAGAGTGCTGTTTAGGACATCTGCCATTCTATGAGTCTGCTGTGTATCCCGCTTCCCATGTTGGGTCGTTCTCTCCTTTTTAATTCTATCAGTTAGTATTAGCACACACTAGTCTTGTTTATGTGATCCCTTTGACTCTTAGTCCTATCATTATGATCAATTGTGAACTGAAATTGATCACTTTGACTAGTGAGATGGCATTGGTACATGCCACCTTGATGGGATTGAATTGCAACCCCCTGGCACGTTTCTAACTCTACCATTTGGGGCAAGTCAGATTGAGCATGTCCCAAACTGTACATCTCCTCCCTCTCTTATTCCCACTCTTATATTTAACAGAGATCACTTTTCAGTTAAATTTAAACACCTAAGAATAATTGTGTGTTAATTAAAGGATGTCTTTAAATACCGAGCTTCTCTTGCATATTTGGAAGAAACAGTGTCGATATTGCCTGCTAGCTCTGAAGTCAGACTGGGTTAGAAGCCCAGTTGCACTATTTTGTGACCCTAGGCACCTTCTTTAACTTCCCTAACAGTATCTTCATCACAGGGTGAATGTAGCTGTGGCTACAACTTAGGGTTTTACCTTCATATTAAGGTTACCTAAGAACTAAAGTGAATTAATGCATATAAGTGCTGCTTAGCATAGGGTCTAGAAATGGACAAGTACTTGATGAATATTATCACTATCTTTGAGTTAAGATTTCACAGAATATCAGAACTGGAAAGAACTTTAGCAATTATCTGGTTTATTTCATTGTACAGATGGAGAAAAATAGACTGGAGTAGTATCAAATGATTTGCCTAAGTTCATAGAGCAATTTAGTGGTGAGTTGGGACTAAATTCCAGTTTCTAAGGCTTTCTTCATGTACTGTGTCTATATCTTTCAATAATTTCTTGCTGGATAATTGCAATATATGCTATGCACTATATCAGTGTATATGTATATGTGTTTCAAAATTTTTTGAAATCAAGTATACAGAGGTATTCAAAAAGCTCATGGAAATGCACTGTATGAAAGTCATGCATGGATTTCAACAGATTTTGCACTAAAATAAACTTCTTCTAATTAATTTTACAAGAATTTTTTGAACTACTTTCATGTGCACGTGTATGTGTGTATGTGTAAAACTTTGGCTCAGAATGTCATTTGTACAAAGTGAGGCCTACCTGTCTTTACTCACCATCACTATCTGTGTGCACTTGTACTACATGCTAAGGTAAACAGAAGCTACTAGACATGGCTCTCAATCTTGAGAAGCTGTTAAGATTTTTTTTTTTTTTTTTTTTACCCAAGTGATGAACAGTTAAGGGTCAGAAAAACTAGGAAAAAAAATCCAGAGATTGAGACTACATTCTAGGGGCTATTGTTTCAGGCCCTTTATCAGTTATACTTTCTCTTCCCCTTCAAATGCTGGTGTAATTTTGGTGAGTCCTAAAAAATTCTCCTTTTAATGATCAATTAATGGGTCTTGTTAAAATCATTACATTTTTGTCTGGCTACAAATCTGACCAGATGCTGCTTCTTGGAGAGGACACCAAGTGGCAGATGATGCCAGTGTTGCAGGAGGGTCTGGCAGAATGGAAAGAATGGAAAGGGAGGCCACCAGCCTTTGGAAGCAGCAGTTGTGGCTGGGGGTGGGGCTGGGGCTGGAGACCTCCTTGCAGAGGCAAGGAGGGGGACAAGGAGTGGTTCCCTGTCATCAAGCTAGGATGCCTGGTTAAGAACATGAAAATCAAGTCCTTAGAGCAGATCTCTCTCCTCTCCTTGCCCATCAAGGAGTCTGAGATCACTGACTTTTTCCTGGGGGTGTCCCTCAACGATGCGTTTTGACGACGATGCCAGTGCAGAAGCATGCATGCACTGGCCAGCAGACAAGGTTCAAGGCATTTGTTGCCATCAGGGACCACAATGGTCATGCTGGCCTAGGTGTGAAGTGCTCCAAGGAGGTAGCCACCATCATCTGCCATCTAAGGGGCCTTCATCCTGGCCAAGCTCTCCATTGTCCCTGTGCAGAGAGGCTACTAGGGGAACAAGATTGGCAAACCCCACACAAGGCCTTCCAAGGTGATCAGATACTGTAGCTCTGTGCTGGTTTGCCTCATTCCCAGATCCCAGGGGCACTGGCATACTCTTGGTTCCTGTCCCCAAGTAGCTGCTGCTGATAGCTGGCATTGATGATTGCCACACCTCAGCCAGGGGCTGCACTGCCACCCCAGGCAACTTTGCTAAGGCCACCTTTGATGCTATCTCCAAGAGCTACAGCTATCTGACCCCTGACCTCTGGGGAAAGACTGTGTTCTCAAAGTCTCCCTCTCAGGATTTCATCTTGTAAAAACCCACACCAGCGTGTCTGTGCAGAGGATCCAGGCTCCAGCTGTGGTTACAACTTAGGGTTTTTACACGAGAAAAATAAAGTATATTAAGCCTATTTAAAAAAAATCTGATTAGATAATGTTCTTTCTTTCTTTTTTTTTTTTTTACAGTAAACCTGCCTGGAGACTGACACCAAGTCTTTAGGTTTTTCTGCAGTTAAAGATTCCTGGTTAAGAATGCTTGGAAAAGGCAGCTACTATACCTTGACAATACAAATCGAAGTATAAACAAGAAGTCTTGATGGGTCAACCTGGGACTTGATTTTTTTTTATTTTAAGATTAATTTTTTATTTATTTAAAAGTCTGAATTACAGAGAGAGGGAGAGACAGACATTTGTTTCACTCCCCTAATTGCCATAATGGCCAGGGCTGGGCCAAGCTGAAGCCAGGAGCCAGGAGCTTCATCCAGGTCTTCCACATGGGTGCATGGACCCCAGCACTTGGGCCATCTTCCCTTGCTTTCCCAGAATGCATTTTCAGGGAGCTGGTTCAGAAATGGAGCACCTGGGTCTTGAACCTGGGCCCATAAAGGATGATGGTGTCACAGATGGTGGCTTAGCCTGCTATGCCGCAATACTGGCCCTGACTTTATGATTTTGCACATGCATATTTCATGACAGTATTGGTTCAACTAGGCCATGAATTGGGTTAATAACATTTCTTAAAATGGACTGAAGGAGGCCGGTGCCGCGGCTCACTAGGCTAATCCTCCGCCTAGCGGCGCCGGCACACCGGGTTCTAGTCCCGGTCAGGGCGCTGGATTCTGTCCCGGTTGCCCCTCTTCCAGGCCAGCTCTCTGCTGTGGCCAGGGAGTGCAGTGGAGGATGGCCCAAGTACTTGGGCCCTGCACCCCATGGGAGACCAGGATAAGTACCTGGCTCCTGCCATCGGATCAGCGCGGTGCGCCGGCTGCAGCGCGCCGGCCGTGGCGGCCATTGGAGGGTGAACCAACGGCAAAAGAAGACCTTTCTCTCTGTCTCTCTCTCTCACTGTCCACTCTGCCTGTCAAAAAAAAAATGGACTGAAGGAGACCAGAATTGCATCAGGATTATTCTTAATAAACAGTAATTGATAAATTGCTGAACACTCACTTAATAAAGAGCATCTGACACTTAAGGGCTGAACACTCATTTCTAAACAAGAAGTAGAGGTCATAACTTCCATTTGCTTGGCCACTTCCTACAGCACTATGGGTGGGGGAAGATCACCTAGTACTTGTAGTTGTTGGGATGAGTGAATTCTCTAAGCGGGGGGCAGCTATCTTTAAGT